ATGGTATATGGAGGGGATTATAATCAATGTAATGAAACAAGTTATATGAATTGTTGAATGTGAAACTGATGATGTGCCCTGTAAACTTTCATTCACTCAATCCACAATAAAAACCTTAAATTAAAAAAAAAAAAAAAAGAATCAACTGAAGGTTATAGCTTTAGAGTTTATGCAATAAAATACTACATGAGTGACACTGTAGGATAAGCACTGGATTGCGAACCAAAAGTTCAAACCACCAGGTGCTCCTCAGAAACCCTATATAGGGTCTCTGTGAGTCAGAACTAATTTGATGACATTTAACAACAAAGGTATTAAGTGCAATGAATAAAGCAAAATTTTATCAATCTGCCAATAACCCCACCCAATCCTTAAGGGTAAATAGTCCCTGGAATAATTTAGTAGGAAGTATGAGGGAGACCCAGCAAGTTCTAGCCAATCTTTCAAAGAGAATTTCTGTTTCTGTACCTGATGCAATGCAACACTGGGGCCGTGAAGGTCAATTGCAGCTAGAGACGGAATTCGAGATTCTGAAAGCATTTTGTTCTCTTTCCTTATTAGCCTGGAATTTCGAGCTAGATGGAAATGACCATGTTCACAGAGAAGAAAATTAGACATCTTGTTAGTTTTTCATATTCTATATCCATTTCTCATTATATACTTATACATGTATGTACATCTTTACATAGGTAAAAATATGTAAAATTACCATTAAGTTTTAGTATTTTTAACTTATTTGCTATACATTTTAACTAATATAAACAAAAGCACTGAAAAGAGTAAAAGCATCATAAATATACCTATGCCTTCCAAGGCTCTCAATTCAGGAAGATGATTGTAATTTAGTTCAGGCAAACGGACATCTGTTTTTGTCCCTTCTTTGTCCCTCCTTTTCTTATTTGCATGAAGGAGGTTCTTTTCACTGGAAACCTAATAGTGTTAGAATGGTTAACACAAATTCATTAGCTTCAAAATACGCTAGGCTTTTCCCTTTTGTCCTAAAATTTGTGAAACTGAAGGGCTAGAATAATACAAATTGTGAAGCACATTATAAGCACACAAAACTATTTCCTCCAATTATTTAAAAACTCTTCCTTGTTAAATTCATTAAAATTGCTGACAAGTGGATAACTTGGTTGCTAGGAGTTTCCCCTGCTCCCTCTGTGTAAGTCTTGTCAAGTTGGTTCTCACTCACAGTGACCCTGTAGAAGGTTTATAAGGAGCAACTGTGGGTTTGAACCATCAACCTTGCAGTCCAGTGCTTATCCTACAGCTCCACACCAGGACTCCAGGGTAAGTCTTAGCAAGTAGTGAAATGTCAAAGAGAAGCATCTGTGTTCCAATCTTCAGGCCAGCAAGGTCAGGTCTGACAACACTTACTGGGCTTCAGCACACAGTTGCTGTTATAACATCTTGATTTATATATAAAATCCTCCTATCTTGTTTTTTAGGAGTTATGGTAGCACTGTGGTTATGAGTCCAGCTGCTAATCTCAAAGTCGGCAATTTGAAACAACCAGCCGGTCTGTGGGAGAAGGATGAAGCTTTCTGCTCCCATAAAGATTTACAGCCTCAGAAATCCTATACAGGGTCATAAGAGTTGGAACTGACTCCACAGCACACAATCACCACCACCACCATCTTGTTTTTTACTTTTCTGCTAAAATTTCATTACTCTTTTTCTTCATGTCTTTGTTTGGGCCCTCAGAGTTAACAAGTGATGCTGTCTTCCTGACTATGAAATCTAGCTCCTTCTCAAAAACCACTCCAGTTCATGACTTCATTTTCATCCTGCCTGTGACTGCCTCTCACAACTGTTACTCTCCCAGGAGTCTTCTATCCAATAGTATTCAACTTAACTCAACTTGGCTATATGTACAACTCTAAGTCCATTTCATAGATGAACTTAATCTAAACCCAGTAAATTTATAAAGGGCATGTTTCTTAAATATAATAAAAATAAATTGAAAAATTTAGCACCTATCTGAAACACTTAAAAAAAAATACCATTCAAACCATGCCTCAATCTTTGTATCCACAAGCCCTGTTGTTCCATGTTTGTGCTCAGGTTGTTATTTCCCTCTGTCCCATTTAGCCCATGTAAACCTGTCTAACTATTCTCCCATCCACCTTATTTTTCTTTACCTTCCCCTTCTAGTGTATTGCCCACCCCACCCCAGCACTAAACTATCCTGTGTCTATTCCATACTCTGTGTTCCACTATCCTGTGCCCATTCTCTACCCTGTGCTCCACCTTCCCCCTCCCTCCCTCTCCCCCCACCCCTACACCCTGGTAACCAACAACAACAACAAAATAATAATAAAAATAAAAGATAATTTTCCCCCTTTCAGTGTGGGTGCTTTTTCTTAATCTTTTACAATAATGGCTCTATACCATATTTCTCCTTTTGAGACTGATTTCACTTAGCATAATGTCCTCCATTATGCTGAGTGAAATCAGTCCACAAGGTTCATCCATGTTATGCAGTGGCTTGCTGCTTGCTTGTTATTCTTCAGGGTAACGTAGAGTTCCATTATGTGTATGTACCAAAGTTTGTTTATCCATTCTTCCATAGATGGGCACTTACGCTGTCTCCATCTTTTTGCTCTTTTGTGCAGGAAGTGGTTCCACCACTTTTGCCGTTTGACACAGTCCCGGCAAAAGGAGAAACATCATGCAAAGCAAATGATTCTCTGGAAAGACATCATCCTCTATCTCCCCTTTAGGATAACTCTGAATTCACTTGTAAAAATATATAATATGGCCATATTCACGGCCTTTACTGTAAACTCTGCAGACCTTAAGAAGAAACCGGTCTGGCAACAATTGTTTCAGCTTCATTGGGTTAAATTCAAAGGGAATTGCATGAGCTACTCCCTTTCACAGAAAACTTGAGTACAAAGCAACTGCATTTATGAGATCACAAAAGCAGATAACAAACTAAAGTAAAGCTGACCGACCCCTATAGACCTGACCACAATCAATTACCAGCCAGAATTCACAAACCCCCACTATTATGTACAAGCACCTACGTAAATAGGCAGAGAATGGTGAACATGAATGAAAGGTGGTCAAAACTTAATAATCTACATTTCCTGTAGCAATTAGCCAGGTTGGGCCTTATCTGCCTCACATCCTCAAAAGAAAGAAACATAGGAACATTGTGGTTAAGCAATTTAATGAATACTTTAGAAAAACAAAATAATTAAGTAGATGTTAGTAATGCTTTTACTATAAAAAATAGTAGTACAGAAGATTGATAATTAGTAGAAACAATAATGTAGTGTAGGCATTGATGATTAATAGAAACTTGTATTACTAAGAGGATGTAATCAAGGGTCTAATAAGTGGAAATGATTTGTGTAAGGTTTAACTTGATCTTTTAGTGGGAATAAGAAGAAACAATTTATCACTTACGTAGGAGAGGAGATGATGTCAAAAGAAAAATGCTTAATGGTTAGAAAATGAACAGGAAATTGGAAAGGTCAGGTTGGACATCATAGAAATACTTTTGTTAAGGTTGTATAATCACAGGGTGAAGGAATGTTGTGATTAAAAATGTATAATAATTCAAGGGAAAAATCAGTATGCATTGTGTGATTTTAAGTATAAAATAAAGACTTGCTGAGCCGGGGCAAGAAGAAAAGAGAGAGAGCTCCATCAGCCAACTACGCGGAGACTCCTCCATTGCTTTCACTTTCGCCGACTCCGCATTTCCTCTAGTGTCCTGTGACCCTACGAGAGCTGGACTTCCGCAGTTTTGGATAGTGCTGCTATGAACATTGGTGTACATATATCTACTCATGTTATGGCTCGTATTTCTTGTGGATAAATACCAAGTAGAGAGAATTTCTAGATCATAAGGCATCTGTATTTCCAACCTTCTGAGGAAGTGCCATATTGTTTTCCATAGTGGCTGGACCATTTTGCAATCCCACCAGTAATTTAGTAGGGTCCCAGTCTCTCCACATCCTTGCCAACACTTATTGCCCTCTACTTTTTCAATCTTTGCTATTATTGCTGGTGTGAGATGATATCTCATTGTTGCCTTTATTTGCATCTCTCTAATGGCTAGTGATCATGAACATTTTTTCATATGTTTGTTGGCTGCCCAGCTCTCCTCCTTGGTGAAGTGTCTGTTCATGTCCT